TGGTGATGGTGATGATGGTGATGGTGGTGATGGTGGTGATGATGATGGTGATGATGATGATGATGATGGTGATGATGATGGTGATGATGATGATGATGATGGTGATGATGATGGTGATGATGATGATGATGATGATGATGGTGATGATGATGATGATGGTGGTGATGGTGATGATGATGATGATGATGATGGTGATGATGATGGTGATGATGATGATGATGATGGTGATGATGATGGTGATGATGATGATGATGGTGATGATGATGATGGTGGTGACTGTGGTGGTGATGATGATGGTGGTGGCATGGATTGTGATGATGATGGTGAAGATAAGCACTGTACCACATACAGGGTTAACCCCACATTGATCACAGTTCAGTTACGTTTTCTTACCATTAAACAAACTGTTAGCAATGGTACCACATGGCGCAATCGCTCTGGTTTGGTTGGGTTTGTAATATCCTTCGGCATAAGGTTTGCAATCACTAGACACAGACTGGCTAAGATCACCACGTAACTGAGCATCGTCTCTTGACCTCACATAACGACGATGGTTCTTAATTAACATAGAATTATGAGTGAGATCAATTTAATGTCCTAATATTAATCAACCCATTAAGCACCAGCACTCGCCCCTTGACAAGTAAAATAACCTGGCTTAGTAAAATAATGAAGTACAGCACATCAGGGCACAATGTCACTCAATGGGTTAAACCATTCAAAAACCCATCAATGGAAATTGAAAATTCTTGCTGTATTAATACCTGATAGAAATTTGAGAGGCCGTAATAAAGATAGACTTGTTTCTCAATGTCATCACTCAGCTCAAACTTCATTCTACATTCACAAGTTTCGTTTGAGTTTTCTTCTAAATAGTCCTCACATTTCTTGTCTTTGCCATATTTATTACAATGCGTGTACTCCACTTTTTTCTCTCTCACCTGGAAGAAAATAAGTTAACAAAATGAAATCTGACATTGCCTTCCACAAAAGGGATTTGTTATAACAAAGACAATCAGACCTGCCCAGGTCATGAGTTGTGTGATCACACCTGCAACCTTTGCATACACCTTCAGGGTTCATAGTCTCCAAGACAAAAAAAATTCAAAGATTTTTTCTGCCTATTTTCAAAGACTTTTCAAAGACCTTTGAGAGCAATCAGCTGTCGAAAAATTGCGAGTGTAAGCACCATTTTTACCCAGTAATTAGTCCCGTCAAATCACATCCTAAAATGCGCATTTTCGTCGATATTTGCGAAAATCTTGATTCAATCAATCTATTTTATTAGCTAGGAAATCGTATAATCAATTCCTCACTAAAGAATATAAAGACTTTTAAAGACTTTCTTCGTTTTTTCACACAATTTAAAGACTTTTCAAAGACCTCAAAGACCTGCATTCCAATTTATCAAGGATTTCAAAGACCGCTACGAACCCTGACCTTATCTTGTCAAGACGCACCTTATTCATTTTTGTATATAAAATCATATAATCACCATGTGTTTGCCAATTTGAGAATTGAGATTCTTGCCTGAGCATATTTGCAACATTTAAACACTAACTTACTAGCCACATGCATTCCAATGTTAAAATTAGTGCAAAGATTTCAAGCTAGGGGTCTGCCATTAGAAAAGTGATGGCGGGTTGGGTGGGGTGGGGAAAAAGCAAAAATAAAAGTTGAGCAGGGGAAACAGAAAAAAAAATTCGTGCAGAGACTTTTCAATAGGGAAAATTATAAGTTGAAATAAAAAAAAATTTGTGTAAGAGATTACATTTAATAAAAAAAATTATCGACATAACCAAAAAATAAAAAAATATTCGTACAAGTTGAAAAAGTACCCCCCCCCCCCAATCACTTTTCTAATGGTCGTTATGGTCCGCCCTTACTAATATCCCGTATTTATATTGATATTTTGTAAAGGGCCCACTGTAATTGGTGTTAAGCTGTTGTGGTGTCCCAGCTTATTTAACACAATTATTGTTTGATGTTTGGAAGCGAAGCACAATAAATAAATAAATAAATAAATTGGACAGTGCACAAAATGCCACATGTAAAGTGCTGAGTCCACACAAAGAATCTGAAAATGCCGGTTTACACTAGCAAAGTTTCTGTGATCACAGTAGGAATTTTGCATCGGTAAATTCAGAAATTCTACATTTTGAAGGATTTGTAAGAAATGTTTGAGGAAACTGTTTTAGTGTTTAAACCAGACCTGTCAAGTCTCCCGGTGCTGCCGGGAGACTCCCGGTTTTGACCTTTTTCTCCAGGTATCAACTGAAGGTATTTTCTCCCGGTTGCTTGTTTTAATTGTTATGAAGTTTACAATGGAATATTTTCCAGATTCAAATATCTGGTAAGAAATAGTAATCGTGTGAAAATCACTCGTGTCCATCCAAGCTCTGACACTTACTCCAAGCTCTGAAACTTACTCCATGAACTACAAGTATTTGGCTTTTTTATCCACTTTCGCAGTATAAGCGATAAGTAGATTATTGTAAGGATATGAGATGTAACTTGGGATCTCAAAAACTAGTTGCATTCTTGCATTCTTGAACACTGCATATGACTTCAATTTTGCTCTCCCGGTTTTTGATAAAATCTCACAGTTTTTTAAGGGCTAAAAAGCAAAATCTCCCTGTTTTAAAATTTTAAGGTTGACAGGTCTGTTTAAACGATAAGTCTGTCTTCCTATTAAAATCCTTCAAAATGTAGACTTTATCAATGAAAAATTCCTACTGTGATCACAGAAACTTTGACAGTGTAAACTACGCTTTAATTTAAACAAAGAATCTTTGCTCTCAAACAAAGAATGTTTGTTCCAAATAAAATAGGAATCTTCAGCATGATTAGGCATCTGAATTCACAGATGAAGAACAAGTTTTGTTTTGGGCTTTGTGTTTGTAGCTATATGCAACAAGCAAGTATAAATAGACTTTTTCAATAAATATTTAATGCCTAACAATCTTAATTAAATATTCTTGCAATTACAATAAATACAGCGGCACTTTATACACTTGGAAATCCTCCCAAAACATAGAAAAATCAATGTTTGCTTTTAAAATGCCACTGTATTCACTTTTAGACCTAAAAGTACAAAGCTAGCTGGCAAGTTAGTATTTATAATACTAGGTGTTGAAACATACCACAGTACAAATTTTGCAAACTTGTAGGTAAAAAATGCAAAATATATTCCGTATAAAAGCATTTTTCACCCCAAATTTGAGCTTTTAACAGGGAGAAAGATATATAGTTATTTTCTTGATGAATACTCAAATGTTGAGTGCACAGAATGATTTGATTGATGTCTGATGAAGTTCATAAATCTTGAAGTTCCTTCTAGGAGTAAGAATTGAACGACATATCTAGTAATTCTATTTATTTGCCTCCAAATACAAGACTACAACTAATTAAAAGAATTCACATTATTTTCTCACTCTGATAACGCAGAGATTGACCACCATCTGCTATACAATACACATTAAAACCCAAGTTTGTTTAAAGTTGTCAATAAATTCTGTACAAAAAATAGCCCACAAAACTTTCAAAATTCCACAGTATTTTTGTACAATATTGTTCTCCTATTGTCCTGAAATCTTTTCAAAAGCTTAAAGCTTACTCACCGAGTTAGAAGCGACAAACAAGACAGCCCCGAGGACAATAAACAAAACGAAAATAATAAGGAAGAATATGGTTGCCACTTGCGCAGTAAGGATCGGTTGCCATGCCTTTAGCCTCTGCTGTTTAAACGCCGAGTCTGAAATAAGTAAAAGAGGGTTAGTTGAAGAGTTCGTTTATATGAGAGGACAGTTTGAATGAGTTTTAAGCACGTACTTTTTGGTCTACGACTGTTCGTGCCATCTATGTCTTCCATGTTTTGTCGTGAAATGAAAATATTAAGAATTCAAAGAACGAAATTTGTGGTTTGTTTCCACCGTTGGAAGGAATATTCCTTGGAAACTCCCAATTTAGATTTGACATATAAACTTTTGTATTACATTTACGCGTTATTAACAGCGCTATTAAGGCATATCATATAGAAAATTAATTCTACTGTTTCACTGTCCAAACAGGCATCTTGTATTGAAAACTCGCATGAAAAAATGCAAATTTTGCATGTTTTCAAAAGGAAGTAACTTACCAAGGTGGAAACACTCAATGGGATTATCTTGTATAAAATGTCTTTTCTCAGCATTCGTCCAGCTGTTATTTTCTCTGCAGCCATTTTGCCTTTCTACAGAAAGTATTTTATCCAGCCTCTGTTTCCTTAGTAGCCTAAATGATCACAAAGCAATTTTTTTCAGAATAATCCGTTTTTATTGGAGTGCTCCCCCATGGAATATAAAATGTAGTCGCCCCCCGGAAATTGCGCTTTGCAGATGGTTTTACTTCCGGTGTAGATATCTCTGAAAACCTACAAGAATTTTGGAAGTGTAAATACAAGATTTCACTAACTTTTGACCGCGTTTTTATGCAAAAACCTTCATATATGAAAGAACAACACTTGTACAACCTACACTAAACTTTTTTGTTGCAAGATTGCACATATTCTGGTTAAAATTCGACGGGAAAGTGTTATCATGAGTGAGCTAGAATCTGCAACAAAAGTTCTTACTCGAGCAGTTGACCTAGACAACAACCACAGGTACAAAGAGGCGTTGATTTGCTACCAAGAAGGAACAAACCTCTTGATGCTTGCATTGAAAAAAGAAACAGACAGTACCAAAAGACTAGCTCTTAGACAGAAACTTGACGAGTACCTTAGCCGAGGTGAAGTAATCAAGCCATTGGTCCAGAATTTGTCTGAAAAACATCATGAACGAATTGAAGTAAAGGATGGTGAGAGGGGATATTGTTATAAAAAGATATTCGAGAAATGTCTGTTTGGGAATTTGACAGAGGTCCGAGTCGAAGATCCATATGTTCGCACGCACCATCAGATTCAGAATTTTGTTCGGTTTTGCGAATTGTTGGTTCATGTTAGCTCGATGAAAAAGATCAAGCTTTTGACAGGTAAAGGGGAATGAAGCTATTGGATCATAATTTTCCTGTCACAAGTGAGAAGCAGGTTTTGTCTAGGATCAACAAGCCTTTTGAATGATGGTTTTTAAGGGGCATTTCAGCCATTTTAATTGAAAAAACTAACTAGAAAAATTAATTAAGCATAATTCAAATCAGCAAAATTATAAAAAACTTTGAGTTTACGTATCTTGAATTATTTTCCTAGTTTGAATTGAAATTTTCCCCCACTTTAATTCATTACTGGCCCTCTAGGAAGAACAGTTTAGAACTGATAGAGCTATCCAGTATAAATAAAGTTAGTTTAGGTTTCTTCCTGTAGTAACACTGGATCAATAAGAGATGATTCTTACTGGACCTCTATAGGAAGAACAGTTTAGAACTGATAGAGCTATCCAGTATAAATAAAGTTAGTTTAGTTTAGGTTTCCTCCTGTAGTAACACTGGATCAATAAGAGATGACCCTTACTGAATCTCTAGGAAGAACAGTCTAGAAATAATAGAACTATCCAGTCACATTTTGCTAATGATCGAAATATTTAATTTACCTACACAGGTCAGCATCAAGACAGATCAATGCAAGCAGAAAAATTTCAAAAACTAACAGACAGTCTAAAACAATGTGGTATCACACTGGATATTTCATACTCGGACACATTGCACGATCGAGAAATCACTTTTGACAATGGTTGGGTGGTGAAGATTGGGAGAGGACTGGACATGTTTAAACCAGTCAAAGATAATTGCTCAGTTGGACATTTTGATCATAGTTTAAGAGCATGTCATGAAACAACTATTGACTTGTATAAAAATGGTTAATTTTACTAGGCATTCACTATAGGCATAGATACAATCCTCTACATACAAAACAACTTTCAATGAACATGGTTTAGGACAACACCTTTTGAATTAAGATAGATAAAAATTCTATTTTGATTGGGTGGCCTCGTTAAACAATCTTCAATCTTCCCTGACTAAAATAGTTGGTAAAATGATTACTTACATGACCTTGTAGGATAACTTCTTTGGGTAGCTAAACAAATTTTAACCTGCATAAAAATAGATTAATAATGCATTTTCTATTTTCCTCGACACTTTGTACTTCGGTAGTCAACTAAATATAATCCGTTTATCCCCTCAGGTTGGGTGGTATTCGGGCCAAATGCCTCTGAACTTTGTTGGTCAAAACGCATGTAAATTACATCTATTTATAGAATTTAACATGCTCACCTCTATACAAGTGAATTCAAAATGTTGTGTTATAGAACCTAAAAATTTACTCTAGTACCTCCAAGACATAATAAGACTGAGGTTATAATACTAAAATATAATCGTATCCAAGACATAATAAGACTGAGGTTATAATACTAAAATATAATTGTATTCCCCCCCCGTGTGGGGGGGGCAACATTCTCCGGAAAAATTTTTGCTTTCCGGAAAAAGTTTTTGGGGGGGCCCTGGAATGGAAGGGGGCCCAAATTTTGGAATACACCCCCCCCCAACCAGAAACCGGTTGGCACGGCCCTGTGGAACAGTTCCTACTCTTTTACTTGTCGCTTCGCGCGAACAAATTCGCCCAGTGGAAAACGTCATTCTAGTGATTGTCATTCTACTTCCTGTTAAATATTTGTTAAAACTCAGTGGTTTACTGATTACGTATGACGTCATTGACATCAACAAATGTTTTCACGATTTCATGTTTGTCAATAGAGCCCCCCCCACGCCCCGCTTCAGTAAATTTAGTTCTACAGCACGGTGCAAAGCCTTGCAAACTCTCTATTGCCTATTCGTGGACTATTTGTTGACTATTCGTACTATTCGCGGACTATTCGCACTATTCGTTGACTATTCGCGGACTATTCGTACTATTGATCGACTATTCGCTTCACTATTCTAGTTTTATCAATATATTTGCCGCTTCTTTGCTGTATTTAAACGTCGTATAAGTACTCCTTTATACCGTCGTTAAACCACGAGCAACGGCGAAATACTGGCGTAGCTAGAACCCCCACCCTAAATATGAAACATTCAAATGCAGACTTCTGATTGGTGGGTATTTACGAAAGAATCACCCGATTGGTTAAGCCTCAGAGGGGGGACCACAGGAATTTTTTTAAAAACTCAAAAAGTGCCCCAAACTATGCCCAAAACACTCCAAACTTTCTGAAACTTTCCGAAAACTGTCCATATTTATAATGTATACAAAAATTATTACCGAAAACGAAAAAACTTACCATTAAGACAGACTGTTCTTTCATTTAAACGTTGTCTTTTTATCCATGGTCGAATTTCCAGTAGAATTTTTTATACACCAGTACGGCGATATGGCGAAAATTTCAGGCCGTCTTTGACAACAAATAACATCACAATAACTGCACGTACCCTTCTCTTTACTACAGAATCGTTTTCCCTGTCCATTGAGTTATAATTTCCATAACTAACCAGTCGCTATAACATAAAATAAGCGAGTATTTGTAAAAAAATGCCCTTTGACTTGTCTTCTCTCGAAACGTTTATGGTAATCGCTAGATAGTATACTTCAAAATAAGATTTCCGTTTTTATAACGTAGAAAAAACCATCCTAACGCAAAACTAAACCCTAACGCTAATACTAAACTTAACCCCAACCCTAACCTAACCATAACCCTAACTTATTTAAAAAATTGATATAAAACGGAAACCTTATTTTGGAGTATACTATAGGCAGCCCAGCAAAATGTGTAAAAATGCATTAAACGCTTAAAAATACGTATAAAGTTCGTCACAATTTTCTATCAAGCGATTTATTTGTGTAGCTCATTATACATGCAGATTCCGATGTTTACGTCATTGTATTTTCATATAGTATATTATCCTAAGGCGGGCAACTCTTTTACAAAAACATTTACACACACTAATACGCTCGCTTCAAACAACAACAAAAACCGCTACTTTCTGAAAACAAACTACATACAAACCACCTTGGATATTTTTTCTAACTTTATTCAAACTTTTTAGAGTTGAAAAAAGTTTAGAAGTATTTAAATTTCATGGATAAAAAGTGGGTTTTTATCGAAATTATTTTGTCGATAGGCGGGATGCAAAATGCACGACAAACGTCATCATCGGAAAAATCATCGGCTTGTTGCTTATTGGCTGTTGAAAAATCGGCAAATTCCGAATATAATATACTTCAGTCAATGAACTTTCTTCGGAATTTGCCGATTTTTCAACAGCCAATAAGCAACAAGCCGATGATTTTTCCGATGATGACGTTTGTCGTGCATTTTGCATCCCGCCTATCGACAAAATAATTTCGATAAAAACCCACTTTTTATCCATGAAATTTAAATACTTCTAAACTTTTTTCAACTCTAAAAAGTTTGAATAAAGTTAGAAAAAATATCAAAGGTGTTTTGTATGTAGTTTGTTTTCAGAAAGTAGCGGTTTTTGTTGTTGTTTGAAGCGAGCGTATTAGTGTGTGTAAATGTTTTTGTAAAAGATTTGCCCGCCTTAGGATAATATACTATATGAAAATACAATGACGTAAACATCGGAATCTGCATGTATAATGAGCTACACAAATAAATCGCTTGATAGCAAATTGTGACGAACTTTATACGTATTTTTAAGCGTTTAATGCATTTTTACACATTTTGCTGGGCTGCCTATGGTATACTATCTAGCAATTTCCCCCTGGTTTATATACAATTTACATTTTTTCCCGCCAAAAAGTAGGGTCGCCAGGTTTTCTGGGACAGAAAAAGCCAAACTCAAGATCAAAATAAGCCAAAAAGAGCCAAACTCTAAAATTATCAAATGCTTTTATTATTATTGACAGTAAGGATTAAAATCTTGTGAGATATATCGTCCCCCTAAAATTTAATTTATTTTTTATATTCAACACACCTCCCACACTGCATATTTCGGGTCATTTTTTTTTACTCTTCCTTTGATATCAATTATAGCCTCCTCCGCAGGCATCGCCTTTAGATTGGCGGGCAAAATTTGATTGCAGGCAAAAAAATTTCCAAATGTGGAATTTCAATTATTAACCAATCAGCTGTATCCACGTCGAGGCGTCTTTACTTCCGGCTACGTCATGAAATTACATTTCGCTCAAAATGTAAACATGGCTGGCAGTTCGATGCAGTTTTTTTGTGAAATCTGCCAAAAATTACGATCAATGACGGGACGACGAGTCGAAGAACATTTTAATTTAGAGAGGACTACAGTTTCGACTATATTCTACGTATTTGGCGTGGCAATTGTGTGTGTAGTGTCATGGATTTCAGTAAATTTGCGTTCGATCACAAGACTGTCAACGGACACGGCGCCTCACGAAATGTTGACTTTTGGCGAAAGAAGTTTACGTTTTGCTGCTGTTCCGAATCCAAAACCTGTCAGCACAGAAACAGAAGCTAGTAAGACACTATTTCTTAAAGGAAATATCTTTAGGTTACCTTTAAATATACTGATGCTTCGAGAATTTGCCAGAAACCCCGCGAAAAATTCCTAGCAAAGCTGACGTGTACACAAATTACAAAATATTCATTTTTATTAGCCAAATATTTATAGAGAAACTTCAAAATTCTTTCTTAAAAGTGAAATAGCAGAGACCTTTATTTGAGAACTTGAAATGGATTGGGTTTTATGGTTTTACTGCGCTTGTGTTTATTGAGTATGTTAATAGATTAGAAATGCTCAATAAAATCGCTTAAAAACAAATTAGTTCTGTTTGCTCAGCATAATTTGCCATTTTGTGTAACAACAAGTTAGGGCCATTCCATTTAACCCCCTCCCCCCCCTACGGATGAGGTCAATAAAATTTTAACCCCTAAGAAAAAAAGATCAAAAGTGCCAATACAAAACACCCCCAGAAATTTGTAAATTTTCCCCTTACCCCTCAGAAAAATTGCAGAGATCAAAGGATGCCGACAGGCTTAACCCCTCAGAAACGACTTTTTGAGTCACCCTTCAGAAAAACTCATCCGTAGGGGGGGGGGGGGGGGGGTTGGACATTAAATGGAATAGCCCTTACACTGGACCCCTTATGTTTCAGATATAAGGAACATACCTCTTTTTTGTAGTTCTTCTGTCCGGAGAGGCTGCGGCCGCATTACACATGGCCTTGAAGATGAACGAGGAAGGAAAGTCTGGGAAGGCTCTCAAATTGTTCCAACAAGCTATGAAACTTTCTCCAAACAATCCAGATGTTCTGAACTCTTACGGTGAATTCTTGGAACATGAGAAACTGGTTGAAGCTGAGAACTTGTACACTCGGGCGTTAATCAATGATCCGTCACATGGTCGAGCACTAGCAAACAGACAAAGGACGTTTCCTAAAGTACAGAAACTTGATCAGGATATGTTAGCAAGAATTGATAATAAACGTTATAGGTTGTACAATATACCAGAAGAAAACGCTGCACTACAGCGAGCAATGAAGGAAGCTTATTACCAACACATTCACCATACCACTGCAATTGAGGGTAACACAATGACGCTATCAATGGCTCGTGCTGTTGTCGAGACAAAAATGGCCATCCACGGCAAAAGTATTTTGGAACACAACGAAATCCTAGGTCTTGACGAAGCTTTGAAGTACATTAACACAACACTAGTTCAAGAAAAATGTAGCATAACGGTTAAAAACGTAATTGAAATACACAGACGGGTGCTGGGGCATGCACATCCATTGGAAGCAGGGCAGTTTAGAAACACACAGGTTTTTGTAGGGAACCATGTTCCCCCGCACCCAACGGATGTTGAACGGTTTATGAACGAGTTTGATTCTTGGTTAAGTTCGCCGACAATTCGTAATCTTCATCCAATTGAGTTTGCAGCGTTGGCTCATTACAGGCTAGTTTACATACATCCATTTACAGATGGCAACGGTAGAACTGCTCGTTTGCTAATGAACTTGATTTTAATGAGGGCTGGATTTCCGCCAGTGACAATCCAAGTGTCAGAAAGGCATAATTACTATGAATGTCTCCAGGATGCAAATCGTGGTGACGTTCGGCCGTTTATTCGTTTTGTTGCAAAATGTGCAGAAAGGACGTTAGATGAGTATTTGTCAGCAACAACTATATACCCTGTTAAACATTATACTAGCCGAGGTCTAGACTATACTAATCATTTAAAAAGATTGGACACTTTAACACTTACTAAATAGTCTATAATAAATATATTATTCATATTATATATAACAATATCTATATATTTTATAAATATAAAACAAGTAAATTTTGAACAAATTGTCTTAAGTGTTCTGTTGACAAGAAACAGGTCAATACACCATTCTGGAAAGTATGTCACTTGTTTTTGTAAAGCATAACTTCAATCACAAAAATGGGTCTTTATGGCCAAGGTGACCTACTTTTCGGAAGCGTTTATTGCTATGTTCCACAACAGTTTTGATGGCGTAGCCAAGTTAAACCTCACTAGTCACATTTTCTTTGCTGGAAACTTTTTTCACTATCAAAGATGTACTCAGAGGCAACAATATAATAATAAGTAGATACAACCAGTATGGTATTGCCGGGGTGCTACCAACTGGCCAGAACCATACCCCTCGACGATGACCATCTCGTACATGGTGCGACACAACAGAGATGGTGGCAATGAATGGTAGCATTGATAACAAAGGGTAATATAGAGCAATGATGAACATTATAGGTAGTATAGGGATAAGAATGGATGTTGAGTGTAGTGGTGGTCGTTTAGGTAATGATAAAGCATCCTGAAAGATTAATTATTGCATGTTATGTCACAGAATTGACAGAACAGGTTGTAGCACAGTGGTTGGTGCAGATTTCTTTCATAGAGGTTTGATACCTGCAGCATGTAGTGGTGTGCATAATTTTACCAGTTGACTCTGTCATGCACCACAGATTTAGTTTAGGTTTCCTCCTGCAGTAACACTGGATCAATAAGAGATGATCCTTACTGGACCTCTAGGAAGAACAGTTTAGAACTGATAGAGCTATCCAGTATATTTAGGTTTCCTCCTGTAGTAACACTGGATCAATAAGAGATGACTCTTACTGGACCTCTAGCGAGAACAGTTTAGAACTGATAGAACTATCCAGTATAAATAAAGTTAGTTTAGTTTAGGTTTCCTCCTGTAGTAACACTGAATCAATAAGAGATGATCCTTACTGGACCTCTAAGAAGAACAGTTTAGAACTGATAGAGCTATCCAGTATAAATAAAGTTAGTTTAGTTTAGGTTTCCTCCTGTATAGTAACACTGAATTAATATGAGATATATCTTACTGGACCTCTAGGGAGAACAGTTTAGAACTGATAGAGCTA